AAAAAAAAGAAGCGAAAAAAGAGGAACGAACCGGGCGATGTCATACTCGCTCTTCCACATTTCACATAGCTTAGTTCACCATTATTAGCGCAACTGGAGTTCCCCTCTAAAAAAAATCAATTTCGAATTCTGAGTGCGCCTTCGCCACTTATCGTTTTTGTGCGTTTTTGCTTACATGCGAATGCAAAAAGACATATTGTGGCGGCCTCCGAGTGTGTGTGTGTGTGTATGTATGTATGTGTGTGCCCCTCCGGATATTTCAACTCAGCACTCAGGCAAGCTCCAGCGCCGAAATTTTGCCGGTGGATTCTCCGGCCAAGTGCCACCCCAGGGCCCCCGGTAATAACCGCCGCGCAAACCTGGCCCCGCTTACGAGAGGATAGAAGTTTTGGCGAGGAAGTCGCTAACTCAAGAACAAAAAAACAAGAAAGATGAGATTTTGAGATTATGTTCTCCGTCCACATGGAACTCAAATATTTCAAATTCAGGTGTGCGTAGTGCTCGCGTACGGCCCCGTGAGGATTCCTGACGCAAAAATCGCCAACTTTTAACCAAAAAAGCTGGGATGCTGAAATTTTCACGGAATGTTTCCAGCACACGTACAACTTAAATTTATCGAATCAGCCCGTCGGTGTGCGTGGCTCTCATGTACAGCCCAGTGGAAGTTTTTGGCGGGAAAATGGCTAGCTCGAGAACCTGGAAAGCTAGGAGGCTGAAATTTTCAGCGAATGTTCCTAGCACATAGCCAAAAAAAATTTATCAGATGCAGCCACCAGGCATACTATGGTTCTCGTGTACGGCCCTGCAAAATTTTTTGGCGGAAAAATCGCTAACTCGGAAAAATTGGAAAACTGCTGGCTGAAATTTTAAGAAAATGTTCTCAGCCCTCCGTAAAAGTTAAAGAATCAAATTCAGCTCCCAGGCACGTGTGGTTCTCATGTACGGACCCACGAAATTTCTTGACAGGAAAATTGCTAACTCAAGAATCACAGAAATTGAAAAGCTAAGATTTTAACGGAATGCTCCCTGTCCAAGTACCACTTAAACTATTAACTTCCCGAACTTCGAGGAGCAGTATGTTACAAATCCTAGCTACTAGGTTTCCGAGCGATCTCATCGCAGCACGAAATACTGCAAAAACGCATGATCGCACGGATCCGTCCGGTGTGCGTCGCCAGTAATTTTTTTAAATCTTATTTTCGCATATCCTACTTTTTTCCACGAAGTTTGTGGCATATACAAAACAAAAAAATTAATCAACGGAAGAGATATAGCCCTATTCTTTGGCATTTTTATGCGAAAATTTCAGTATGCGGATTTGCAACGAATTTTTGCGGCGGTTGGACGACCTGGCAAAACAAGATACCTTTTCCTGGGTGACTACGTTGATCGTGGCCCGCAGTCATTGGAATGCATTTGCTCGCTGGTAGCCTGGAAAGTTGCCCATCCGAGAAGAGTATGCTTTGTTCTGAGACAATCAAAGCACACTTCGAAAATATGGCTATTTCGCAGTTTTCTTCCGGATTTTTGCAATTACCAATCATTTTGTTTGCGTCCTTTGCAGCGCGATAAAATAGAATACTCTCGCCTGCTGGCACATCTAGTAAGGCCAGCAAATCGCTAAATTTATCTCCAGAAATGCACCGAATACACAACTCAGTAATATCCCATTCATAAGATTTACACAGTTCTTGAGATCAAACAGAAGCGGCTACATTTCTTTTTTGTGCGTTTTTTACTGTGTAACAGCAGTACAAAACACACATTGTCACAGGATTGTCCGTGTTTGTGTGTGTGTTGTCAGCAACTTTCAACTCGGGAACCAAAAAAGCTAGGAGGCTGAAAATTTAGGGTAACGTTCTCCGCCCACGTGTGACCCTGCAAATTTAAATTCTGCCCTTACGTACCGGCGGGCAACACGTACGGCCCCATAAAAGTTTTGGCGAGTTAAATTATCGCGGAAATCACGAAAGCTAGAGGGCCGAAATTTTGTGGGCATATCCCCTGCCCACATGCGACTCAGAAAATTTAAATTCAGGCTTGTCCTGCTCGCGAGCATTATCTACGGCCCCGTGAAGACTGCGGCCGATAAATTGTTATTTCAGGAATCATGGAATCTAGGAAATTGAAATTCTAGGGTAATGGCCCACTGCCCACGAACGATCCTGCAAATTTAGCGTCCCCGCGCTCTCGGGTATTACCTACGGTCCCACGAAAGTTTTTGCGAGTAAATTATTACCTCGGGAACCATGAAATCTACGTAACTGAAATTTTAGCGTGACATCTCTTGCCCATATGCAACTCCGCTAATTTTCAAGGGCCGCGTGAAAGTTTTGGCAGGCAAAAACATTATCTCGGGATCCAGAAGTGCTGGGAGATTAAAAATTTCAGGAGAATGTTCCCTACCTAAGCAGACCTTCACAAACTCAAATTCAGCTCCTAAGCATGCCTAGGTCTCACGCACGACTATGTGAAAGTTTTTTCTCAAAGATCATTCGAAAGCCAGAAAATTAGGAGATTGAAATTTTGGAAGGATATCCACCCCTTGAGGGTTCAAATCCAGCTTTTATGTGCCGGTCCGCGAAATTTTAACTGTTTTTAAGCGTTCCAATTATTTTTGCACAGATTAAAGTGCAAAGCAGTGAAAATTATTAACGGACAACCGTTCAGTGAACGGATTTGCACAAAACGCATAATCGCACCAGCTACTCTGGTGCGCGCTGTTATTTATCAATTTTTGTTCAAAAAGCGCACGGATCTGTTGATTTAGGTGTTTTTGCTTCGTGGCAATCATGAATTTGCGTCGGTGAATCGGGAATACGGCTTCTACGATGAATTGGCAGCACGATTTAGCGTTGGTAACAGTTAAAGCAATTTCATTTGTTGTTTACTTGCTTTGTAGTTTGAGGGCTTCGCGCATCCAAATTTCTTATTATGCGTTTTTGCCGTGCAGCGCTAGAGCGCTGCAACAGGCATCAAAAACGCATATTGCAACGAC